TCTCATCTCTACAATAAATCAAAAAATCAGCCGGGCGTGGTAGCGCATGCCTGTAATTCCGGCTACTCGGAAGGCTGAGGCGGGAGGATCGTGGAGCCCAGCAGGTCGAGGTTGCGGTGGCCGGGAGCGGCCACTGCACTCCAGTCTGCGCAACCGATTGAGACTCCAACTCAAAAAAAACCAAAACAAGCAAACAAACAAACAAACAAAAACAACTGTTTTGAGCAATAGAAAAAGTATCTCGATAGGTGTATTGCATCAAACGAAGAGCACTCTGAAAGTGACTGAAGTTTAAACATGTAAGAATAAATACACAATTTTTTTTTTGAGTTAGAGTCTCTCTCTGTCGCCCAGGCTGGAGTGCAGTGGCGCACTCATGGCCACCGCAGCCTCACCCTGCTGGGCTCTGGTGATCCTTCTGCCTCAGCCTTCCAAGTAGCTGGAACTACAGGCACACGCCACCACGCCCAGCTAATTTTTTGATATATTGTAGAGATGAAGTCTGCCAAGTTGCCCGGGCTGGTCTCGAACCTGCGGGCTCAGGGAGTCCACTCAGTGGCCTCTCAAATTTCTGGGATTACAGGCTGAGTCACTGAGCCCCACCTAACACACAATTTTTAGTAAATAAATTCTGGGTTTTTATGGGTTCCCTCCTCGTATGCTTGGGTAGAGTGAAGGATTATGGAGTAAGAGTTAATATATGCATAGGCACTGAATCTAGGTCAGAAAAGTTTCTTCTCAGTTCGCCATGAAATGGATCTACCTAGATTTCTTCTTCAGTGGCATTGTTTCCTTCCTTCCTTCCTTCCTCCTTCCCTCCCTCCCTTCCTCCTCCTCTCCCTCCCTCCCACTCATCTATCCATAGATTGATGCATGAATTCATCTAAAGCATCTAATATTGATTGACCATCCACTACATGCCAATCACTGGGCTAGGATGACTGATACCCTTAAAGTTAGCTGCGATTACCTTGTGATCTGCAAATATGGACCATAGCTAAGTTCATGTATACCTAAATTCACATCATAAACTGGAATGAGTGATCTGGTTCATGAGATAGTTCTAGTATTATTTGAAGCTATTTATATGGAAATGCATTCAGATTAAATTAAATGTTAATAATAAGCTACAATAATAGTAACATCAGACCAGTGAAGGAGATAGATATCGTCACATGAAATCTATCATGGGCTCTGTATTTCTAATTTAAAGTAGGGGAGCTGGACAAAAAATATGCTTGATTCTGCCTGGAGAGGACTTGGTTGGGGTGGATGTGGTGGGGGTGTTCAGCAGCAGGGCACAAATAAGAAGACCCTTGTGGTGTCATTAAAGGGGAAGTGCGAGCAGAAGCTCCCAACCACATTGTGCCCTGTTACACATTTGTCCCCAGACCTCCAGGGTTCTGGTCCTGTAGTTTCTAAGTGAGGCATGCTTCTCCACACTGATCATATAGTCTTTCTTATCTTTCCTTTCTGAGCTATTGTATATTCTTATGGGTATTCTGAGCTATTGTATATTCTTACTAGATTTAAATAGTGTCAGGTTGGAAAAGTCATCTTATTTTTGAATTTCAATATTTTTCGTTTTATTACTATTGCTGATCGCAATTACTGCTCACAGGGTTAGGGTGAACATGAAATACTAAAAGTAAAGTTCCTGACAAATAGTAAGTTCTCAATAAGTGGTTATTATAACATATTGTAATTATGTATTTTTATATTGGCCTCTCCCACATGAACGGCTGCTTATCAAGGCAAGGACAATATCTTATTTGTGCTTGTGTTCCCAGTGTTTAGAATGGTATTCTCAACCAGGTGCAATTTTGCACTGCCCACTTTCCTACTCAAGAGATAGTTGGCAATGCACAGGGAAATATTTGGTTGTCACAGTTTGGGGAGGGGTACCACTGGCACCTAGTGGAATGCTGTCAAATGTCCTGTAATGCACAGGCTGACCACTCCATGGTAAATAATTATTTTGTTCAAAGTGTTATTAGTGCAGAGGTTGAGAAACACTAGTCTAGAATAATACTGGAAAGTAGTAGAGGTACAAAAATATTATTGAATAAATACTGAAGAATGTGTAGATCAATGGGTGGATAAATAAATATGAGGGCATAACTGGACTCATATATAGTTAAAACTGTCGCAATTCTGAACATTTACTTTAATCTGAATGCATTTCCACATAGATATCTTTCAGTGACACTGGAACTACCTAATGAAATGAATTACTCATTTCTAGTTTATTACATGACTTTGGACAAATTTAGCTGTGACCCATATTTTCAGAGCAAAATGTCATAAGTAACAGCAGCTTCTGTGTACTGTTTTTCATTTATTATTGCCCTTAAACTTCACAAGCACGCTTTCACTTTTTTTTTCTTTTTTTGAGTTGGAGTCTCACTCTCTCACCCAGGCTAGAATGCAGTGGCATGATCACAGCTCATTATAGACTCAAACTTCTGGGCTCAGGAGATCTTTCTGCCTCAGTCTCCCGTAACTGGGACTACAGGAATGCGCCAACACACTTGGGTAATTTTTAATTTTTTTTCAGAGACAAGGTTTCACTATGTTGCCTGGGTTGATATCTAACTCCTGGTCTTAAGTAATCCTCTCGTCTCAGCCTCCCTAAATGCTGGGATTACAGGCATGAGTCACTGCTCTCAATCCACACTCACCCTTTTAACCATCAATTTGCAAATAACAAAACTGAGCCTCAAATAGGATATTTGAGGAGCTAAGATGAGCTGAAGTCTTCCTAACTCGAGTGCTTGTTTGTGTAGCCACTATGTTATTGCTTTCAGATCCAGTAAACTAAAAGGACCAGCAATATTTGACTATCATGTTGGTGTTATTACAGGATTTCAAGGATATTTATAATCATGACTCAGTGGTAACTTGTATTTATAGGTGTTACTCTACAGATGACTTTGAAACCTTACATTTAAGTTCCAAATTAAAGGTTCTTTATATGATGTTCAACCTTTACCTAAAGGTTTTTTTTAATCGAATAATGTACAATGCTCATATATTTTGTTGCTACTGATTTGCCAAATATTTCTTATGTGGCAAATTCAGAAATGATTTATTATCCAACAATCTGAATATGGATTATGATTTCATTTCACAGAACACTAGTAAATCAGGTGCAATGATTAGAGATATAATTCTTAGATCTATTGATTTTTTCCTTCTCATCTTTTGTCCCAACTGTTACACTCAGAAACTGTTTTCAAAAATTGATTCTGAATCCCTTCCTCTTTCAGAGTTAACACAGTCTGTCTAGAATTTCAATGTGGTTTTCTCTGAAGGACTGCAGAATCTGGCAAGCTTCCCAGGCCAACTTATTTGTGAGGGGGGAGAAATAGTGAAAATTACTGAAGGACGAGGGGACAATTGTGTTGGAAAGAGCTGTAAGAAATCTACATTTTAGTTGCTATAGGACAGGTTGGAAAGCGATGAACTGGGAACCATAGGCTATACAGTGCTATTTTCATTTCATCTGTGAAAAAGAAAATGTAGAAACCCTTGATGTGTCTGTGTTCAGGATATCCGTGCCCAGCAGGATGGCACCTGGGCATCTGGCTCCTGATTTCTGCCTCTGCTTAGTTTGTCCATCTTCCTTCCTGCCAGTCTGCCTGTCTGTTCATCCATGCCATTGCCTTCTGTCTGCAATAGCCCAGTGGTTTCGGGCATCAGATGTATGAGCCCAGCTCTGAGAGACACTAGTGAAGGTGCATCCATATATCCACTCTCAGCAATTCATTTATTCATGCTATGGCTCAATTTTCTCATCTATACAATAGGATAATGTCCACCTGGAAGAGTTGCCGTTACAGTGAAATAAGGACACAGGTAAAGAGTCTGGGCTGCATCAAAGCCTGTTAAGGGCTCAGTAAATGGTTTTAATTAGTGGAGAAGGAATTTAAAGAGTAATTCCCATTAGAAAAAGCGACAAAGAAGGGGAGCAGTTTTAAGGTGGGAGTGCAGGAGGGTGTTTTGTGTAACTTTCTTCATTACCTGCCGTTCCCTTTTCGCCTTTTTCTCCTTTCCTGCCATCTCTGCCATCTCTTCCTGGAAGGCCGATGCGACCATGAGGCCCAGGGGAACCGTTTGCTCCAGGGGGTCCTGGAGGCCCAGGCAAGCCAGGAATACTGCAGATATATCTCGGAGAATAGCTCTCTCCTTTCAACTGATTACCCCGAGGTTGTTCACTGGCGCAAATGGCAAAACTTGTAACATAGAGCAAGACAAACATCTTTGGCTCTGGAAGAGAAACACACAGACCTAAATGAACCCTCTGGGGAAAGGGGAAACATGGCATGATTGACTCGGTTTGTGCATGAGATTGACTCGGTTTGTACATTTGCCACAATTCACTCCAGTATTCACCCTTCCCAGGTGTTTACCTTTATCATTTCACTGAAAATTATTAACACATCGTTGATGCAGATTTCTCAGTGCCCGACACAGGGGTTACTGTAGATGAAGAATTGATTAAAAAAAAAATTCAAAATAAATCCCTGTGTTGAATTTATTCTTCAGGAATTAATGGTGGATTTTGAAAAAACAATGTTTCCTTTTTGCAAAAGCAATGAATTTTTTAAAAATAGAAAATTAGACATGCACATAAATAAGATAAACATCAATATTATTTTCACCTCCCAGAGATTTACATTTTAGTGTATATATCCTTTTATTCTCTTTTGTCTGGAGATAGACAAGAAAGAGTAAAAAAGTGATAGTGTTCCATTACTTCAATTCTTGAACTGTTTAAACTTAACAGTGTACCGTAAACATGTTCTCATGTCAAAATTATTCATAACATTAAAAAATTATTGCTTTTGTCTCTACTATCTTTTATGTATACAACTCCCATTATAATCACTTAAGTTGTTTCCAGTGTTCCCCCAATGCAAACACCATTCTAGACATCATTCTAACTAATTTTTTGCATGCATCCATGGCCGTTTTCCTAGAATTTATGAGCTTTTTAAAGCAGAAGAAAGGAAGAAGCATTTTCAGGAAAACCATGTTTTTCACTTGATAATCATGTGTAATGCTAATTAGTGTTAATTGGAGTACTGTGCATGTCCTGAGGGGAGTCTCAAACTTTAATTTAAAATCTGCAGGATATAATGCTGCAGTGTCCCATTAAGCCGTTAGCACCAGGGCTCAATTAAAGAGCTGTGTGAAATTAAACCACGCATGGCACCATGTGCTCTAAGGGAAGCAGGCAGCAGGTCTCTTCAGCTCTGGTCTAATAGGACTTGGGTCTCCCCCTCACCAAAGCCTGGCAGTTGAGAATGATGGATCATTTATAAGCATGACATTCTGGCCTATAGACTGAGGGTGAGGTGGGGAAAGTGTAGACTGGGGATACCTGATTTTCTAGACTAAACAGTCACTTGGATTAGCAATCTTTTAAATGAAAGTCATGTAAATGGGTGATTTTTGGATGATTGGACCTGTGCTTTTGCAAGAAATCCATATCATAAAATGTGGGAAAAGCAATCACATGAAGTTTTCTTTTGTTCTTTTGATAACCACATCAGAAAATTAGCCAGGTACTTGGTATTACTTTTGTGGTACCCATGGGGAAATTGCCACATCCTGGAATTAGACCCAAAAGTTTGCCAGAATATAGAAATGACAAACAGAGAAAAATAATGTGCACATGTGATTTTGAAATAAGCTTGATTCCTAGAAATCTTATTAGTAAAAAACCAAAGCAACTTATCCACATACAGACTCTGGAGTCTTGACCAAATCTCAGCGTTAACAGTCCAAATAAATAAGTCAAGGAGAACATCTTTGCCATGCTCTGTCCTAGACTTATACAGCACAAGTCCACAGTTACTGATTCTAGTGCTCAATTGGGATGAAGTCACTTTCTGACAAGCCCAGTGAATCCAATAAAGATATCAGCATTTTCAAAGGAGCTTCCAGTGGTTAAAAACAAACAAACAAAAAACCCAGATAGAACATTCTAACCACACCACCTGCCACAGTTAAACTGCTAATTTAATACACTAATTAAATTAGCAGTTCCTCTCCCTTGTAAAAGACTGGTTAGAGGAAGCTTTGAGAAGGGATACAGAACGGGAGAATGTGTTCATAGAAGAGACTCAAGCCCGGCGTTCCATGTCTTGCTACAAGCCTCCTTGTGAGTTTCCTCTATGAACATGCAAGTCTGTGAGCTGAGGCCAGAGTTGGCTCTAAGGGACACTTAGAATTATTTGGCGAGAAGGTGCTTTGGGTACTGGCATCTCACATGCTGTGCTGAAAGTGTGAAAATACAATTCTGCCAATTGTTGCAGGAACAATTTAGTTGATGGTGGACAAAGAAAGCAGAGATTTTATTTATTTTTTTATTTTAAAGATGTGGGGTAAATTCAGGGTCAGGTATACAAATGTTCATTATACAGGTACCCTTGTGGATGAGGTGTGCCCCTCCCTCCCCTGGCAGTTTCCCTCAACTGCCACTCCCCCCCCCCCCGGGCAATTTTCCACTACTGCCAATCCCTTTCTTATATTATTATGATAGTTGTTCAAGGTCTGGAAAGCAGTGATTATAAAGACATATTTGGGAGAAAGGATATTCAATATTGCCAATAGCCACTCAAAGAGAAAAGAAATAAAAACAAATGAAACAGATCTATTCTGAATAAATTGATAGCTTTCCCTTGACAAATGCACTGGAATATTGTCTGTACAGGAGTCTAAATACCACAAGTATCCCTAAATTAAAAAAAAAAATTTTTGTGTGTGTTATGGTCTTACTCTGTCATCCAGGCCAGAGTACAGTGGCATGGTCACTTTCTGCACATAGGTGATCCTTTCACCTCAGCCTCCTGAGTAGTGGAAACGAGAGGTGCATGCCACCACACCTGGCTAATTTTTTGGTTTTCTGTAGACATGAGGTCTTGCTCTGTTGCTGAGGCTGATCCAATTATATCTTTTTAAAAAGCACTCAAAATAATTACTCATTAAGTGTCCTCATCACAAATTAACAACCTAACAAGTCACCTTAGGAAGCTAGAAAAGCGAGACCATCAAAACCCTAAATTCAGCAGAAAAATTCAGATCACCAGAATAAAAGCCCAAATCTGGGACATAGAAGACAAAAAGATAGTACAAAAAAATCAATGAAACAAAAAGCTGGTTCTTTGAAAGGATAAACAAGATCGATGGTCCCCTTACTAGACTGACCAAGAAAAAAAGAGAAAAAGCCCAGATAAACACAATCAGAAACACAAAAGATGAAGTCACATCTGCCCTGAAGAAATGCAAAAGATCATTAGAGACTACTATGTACACTTGTATGGAAACAAACTTGAAAATATTAAAGAAATGGAAGACTTTCTGAAATCACACAACCTGCTTAGGTTGAAACAAGAAGAAATCGAGACCCTAAATAGACCAATAACAATCAAGGAAATTGACTATGTAATAAGAAAACTACCTACAAAAAAAAGTCCTGGACCAGATGACTTTCCAGCAGAATTCTATAAGACATTTAAGGAGGAGCTGATACCAATCCTACTGAAAGTATTCCAGGCAATTGAGAAAGATGGAACCCTCCCCAAATCATTTTATGAAGCTCACATCACATTGATACCCAAGC